GCAAACAGATATACGTATTTTTTTCAATGACAAACTTTAGAGATATTCAGAACAATTGAAAATAAATAAATGCTGACTATCAATTGTTTGTTCCTTTCCCGTGCTCATGATCGAAATAAGCGAACTGAAAAACTCAGAAAGTCGCCAAAGGACTAAGCGTGCGGAAAATTTTCATAAACATTCACAAGCCGCAATTCTTCCAACGATGCTTTTAAACCCCAAATTTCTGCACAAAAAAAGGCGCCTCTTCTTGTGCTGTTAAACATTCCGGTACCAGCTCAAAGAAGAAGGTTTTAAAAGCTTTTTTTGATATCACGTTCTTTTGTAAACAAGCCTGTAAACTGCCAATTATGCATTAAAGAAAAGCAAAAACGTAATTTTGGAGGAAGTTTTTAAAATCATATGGACCCGTGTGCGTACTTGTCAAAATGGTAAAGCTACGCGCCCATGTTACATACTTCGTTCTGTTTTTCAGTTTCTTTTGAAATCAATCTGTCGTCAGAGAAGACTAGAAGATGAAACTGCTGTTTATTGTGGTTCTTAGTCTCCTGGCTGTGGGTTATGCCAGGGACCAGGAAGGAGAGCTTGCAACCCGAGGACGTAAAAAAGGTAATCATACTAGCTAGAGAGGTGGGGAGGGGGCGAAAGCTACTTTCATGTGGAAATAATTTTTAAGTGTTTTGAAACTGCAAGAAAGGCAGCTAAGCTTGTCATTACCGTTGAAGCTTGAAACGGTAAAAAAGCTAGCACTCATTGAATGGAAAATAAACAACAAGAAGATAAGATACATTGGTCTGCTCTTAGGATATTAAGGATCCCGGAATAAACCACATGTGGCCGGAGTTGTTTTCCAACTCCATCGATTGGAGTACGTACTCGCCTTGTTTTAACGCTTTGGGTATTCAATGACTTTCAGCTATAAATGGTTTAAACCTACACTACTACATAACGTTTTGACTCTTCAGGTCCATCTAATGAAAGGTTTACATATTCGGGTTAAATCTAAATTGGTATGGTAATTTTAACTACTTTCAAATACGTTCCAATAATTTTAGGCTAACGAATGAAAGAAAATAATTTATATGTAAATGACTAAAAATCATGTATCAACAGGGCCCGCGCAGGGGGAGGGGCTGGGGGGGGGGGCCAGGGTTCCCCCACTTTTTGCAGAAAAATGATAATAAAATTAAGAAATACACATTTTCTAATAAAAGGAATCTTTGATGGAATAAGAATTATAGACTGGCGGACCTCGCCAGAGCATCCAAATTTATGATTGGTCCATTTCGATCCTATATCATATGGTAAGCCTCAAAACGACTTTCTTTACAAAACTGCACTTAGTCATAGACTTCTGTGTTTTCACCAGCCAAGTGATGTAGTATATGCACAAACAATGGAGTCTTTTTTTTATCAAGGTTCTTAAATCTCCACGGAGCTACGATTTCTTAAAAAAAATTGAATTCGATGACATTGTAGACAACATGAAAAAGTTTCAGGAATTCCTCAGCAGAGCATGCTAAATGGAATTGTCCCGATCTGCAAGCTTCTGCTGGTAAATCCTGCAACAGGAAAAGCCGGGTCCTCTTCGGCAACGCGAAGGTTAAAAACATGGCTCTGTTCAACAGTCAGGGTTAAAGGAAGGTTCTAAACAGCCGCAAGGAGGAAACTGACAAACTTTGAAAGTGAATGAAACACGCGAAAATTATGATGCTGCTGTGCATGGTTACAAGGGAAATTGCATAGCCACTGGCTTCTTGTAAAGCAGAGACAACGAAAGAGTCAATAAAGACGAAAACGGAAAGCGGAAATTGTTTCTGTATCCGTGTTGTCTGAAGTATTAAGCTTAGATTAATTGTCATGTGCACAAATTTGGAATATAGAGCAAGAGAAAGACAGAGAAAAAGAGAAAGTACCTGTCGGCGGCAGACCAGCGAAGCTCAACGACAAAAAGGGCGACAGAGATCGAGAGCCAGAGATAAAAAAAAATGAGACATTTTTTTGTTGGAAGAACAACATGAAAATTTTGTGGCGGCGGTGACAAAATAAGAAATGCTCTTGGCCACCAATCAAATGCAATGTGAAAATTAGCGGCAGTGAAAAAAGGTGAACGAGAACACGGTCGACATTTTCTCCATTAAAAGTGTAACTAAGAAGCTTGAGTCGTGAAAAACAAGGGCAAAGAAATCTACAAAAAAATTGTGCTGCACGTGCAAAGTTGCTTTTTGCTTTTTCCGGCGTTGCATTCAGGCCTTAGCATTACACGATTTTATATTTTGTTTGAACAAACTATAAATATTAACGAGAGCTTCGCTTTAAGCCTTGGCTAAATTTATATATTACTGAATGCAAGGCTGGCAATACGGCAGAAGGCTGATTTATTTGAGGCCAACATTTGGGCTAAGGGTTAGGTTAGGGTTGAATTGTTCCCAATCCACTTCGCTCCTCTCCCTTCCAACAGCCTAGAGTTATCACCACCAAGTATGGACTAAACACCTTTAGGTACTACGGACCAAAAATCTGGAACTCTCTAAATGATGAACTCAGAACTTCTCCGACCCTTAAAACATTTGTAACACGCATCAGAAAGATCACCTTTGACGCATGTAACTGCTCTTTATGTAACTGTTAGACTATTGTTAATATTGTACCTTTTAGAATCACTATCTGTAAATAATATCGCATCATGATGTAAATAGTTTAATTCAAGTTAATTTCTTCTTTGTTTTGTTTTTAACCTCGACTCATTAGCTATTTAAGCTAGGAGCCTAATAAGTTCCAGACTCTCGAGTATAAATAAAGTTTTCAAAGTTTTCAACAGCACTTTGGAGAATAAGACATAAATCATCCACCAATCATTAATTATTTTTTACAGGCAATTCCTGTAGGAAACAAGAAGGAGCCAAGTGCATCAAAAAAGGAAAACCCTGCCCGGCCGGTACTGAAGCTTGCTCTGATAGGTTCTCCTGTGGGAGAAGGAAGAAGAAAAAAGTATGCTGCTGCCCGAAACCTGAGCCGACCACCGAGCCGACCACCGAGCCGACGACTGAGCCGACGACTGAGCCGATGACTAAGCCGACGACTGAGCCGACCACCGAGCCGACGACTGAGCTAACGACTGAGCCGACCACCGAGCCGACGACTGAGCCAAGGCCAAGTGTGTATTTCAAACAATTCTTTAATATCAGGGGCACCCAATGGATCTGTTCCTCAAAATAACTGTTCTTCACGGAAAATTTTTGCTGGCTGGGAAATTTGGAAAATTAATATGTCCTTGGAAGTTGCCTTGGAAGGAACGTGTTGCTAGGGAATAGACAAGCCAGGGTGTCTGAGGGGATTTGTTGTCCAGAATAGTTCGTATTTGCTCTTTGTCATAAATCTCTCCCCCTCCCATTGAAGGGCTGAAGTTCGCCCCTAGGCCACACCCAATTTCTTTCTATCTACCCTTCCCGCCCCACCCCCGACTTACAGCTGCAAATGTCATCTGGGTTTTGCGGGAGTTCTCTGTGAAAGACGAGGTAACAAATAAGAACCCTTTTGTAATTTCAATATTGTATTACAAAAGGGATAGCATTGTTCTTATCGAGTCAGCAACTTTATTTTTAACAGCTATTCTTTGTTACCTTATGTTTTGTTAGTATGGTATGTACCTCTTATTGGCCGAGTTTGAACCCCATATTTAGAATACACCCCAAGCATCCATAATTTACATTACAGACCGAGGAACTGAGGCTAAGAAGATGTTTATGAATATAGCTTCCTGTTTGGTGGAAACTGAAACAAGCAACAAGCAGGCAAACAAGCGATTTGACATAAAAAGAAGGGTTTTTTATTGGCTCTAAAAAAACACTAGCTAATAACTAACTAGGCTTTCTACTAAAAGTGAAATGAAAACGCAAATGCGAAATGTTACAAACGTCTTTAGGCGGCGGTCAAAACTCGGAGCACCGCAATTAGCACTGTAAGTAATAGCTCGCCAATGTACGCTGGAGTCTATAATTGGATACTCTGTCTGCTTTAAATCTCCTTCATCTTTCTTTCTTCCGTCCGTGATAAACAATTTAA